TCACGTGCGATATAGGGATGATAATCGTGGCCAGTGGTAGGATGATGGCTGTTCCCGGGATTCGTGAACACACGAAATTGCAAGCATAAATTGAAATGATGAATAGTGGTAATTAAGTGAAACAAAAAGAAGTCAAATCTGCATCATCGGTATTTAAGATACCCTTAAAAACTTCTTGCAGTGATTCGTTGAATTATCCCAGGATAGGCGAATGCCCCGCTTATAGTCTTCTGTATCATGCAGGAACACGGTTATTCGCAATGAAGATTAACGAGAAGTGTCTGACCAGCAGCTAATTAATTCATAGTAAATCTTTTGAGAACTTACTGAGAAATTATTTCTACGGATATTTATCTATTCTTTTCGCTTTTCACACTGCTGAAAATGTAAGAGTTGGGTGTCAATTATAACTGATTTATCGATGGTGGCTTTGTGACGCTACATTCATACTTTAGTTGCTGCATCAATTATAAGGCGCCATTTGTATTGTTGGAAAGAAACTCGTCAGTGGGTAATGGAGATTTACGTTGTAGGAAGGTCAGTCCTGCGTGGGCGCGGATGGCTCAGTCGTCTTAAGTGCCGCAATTCGCTGTGCAGAGATCCCTTGTCCACATCAGAAACCTCTGTGGGTACGAATGCCTGTTCGCCCTGATTGTTTCTTGGTTTATCAGCACGATACCCGTGCTTGTGGGTTTCACAAAAATGGTTAACGTCTGAAACCTGCATCACTTCGGGCTTTCCTCCCACACGCCGTGATATAACTGGAACACTCAAGCACTCATTACTCGAGCTCAGTAAAACCCGTTAAACACTAAATCTGGTTTGGCTCATTCTGGATTATCGTGTTACCATTATTTTATCCTTCTGATTTGTTAATTAGGTTCAGCCTTGTGGTCACTTTGAACTGCAAATGACAGGAGAAGGTCCTCTTCACTGCAGATATATTGGGGAGGTGGGGGGAGGGAGGAGGGAGGAGGGACTACTTCCTGATGTAATAAAGTTGGAATAAAGGATATGATGCCTTATGTTCTCATTCACTTCCGGTAGATTGTGCAATAATATAGAATCGAGTATCTATATCCTTATCTGACATGAAATTTGGCAATTAACTGTATATGTACATGTATGTTTACAGGGCCAAACGTCTGACACCTAAAAAGCGCATGACGGTGGTGTGATGACATGCATCAACCAAACACCACCCTATTCCGTGTGTCCCCTAATAACAATAACAGTATTTTGCCAGTATTGCGCCGCATGTAATGACTGATACTGAAAGAAACAATATTTATGTATATTGAATATGGCGTATCGGTTATCTCCATTAGAAGTTTTTAAGTACGATGCATCATAGTTCAACACCTCGTATGAACAAGGACCAGTACTGAATGCAAAGTTAGGGATCGTAAATAGGCTTGGGGATGTATATTTATAGTGAAAAGAGAGCGCACAAGTTAATAAAAAATATTCCCAAATATAATCGGGAGGGAGATTTTATAAAACACACACAAACACTAACACACAAACAAACACACAAAAACACAAACTCTCTCTCTCTCTCTCTCTCTCTCTCTCTCTCTCTCTCTCTCTCTCTCTCTCTCTCTCTCGCGGGGAAACACTTGAAAAAAAAATATTATGCTTCAGACTGCTAAAATGTTGTCTTTTCCTGTAGGGAAAAACGTAAATCTGAAGCATTGCAGAACCAGATTATCTTTACTCCCCACATGACTACAATTGGTTAAGCCCATTCCTTGTGTCCCCTCGTGGTCTTGTGGTAGAGCGTCCGCCCGGAGAGCGGAAGGTCCAGGGTTCGATCCCGGGCCGCGTCATACAAAAAGACGTTAAAAGATTGTACTTGTTGTTACCCTGTCTGGCGCTCGGCATTAAGGGGCTAAAACAAGGACTGGTCGGCTCGGAGTCAGTATACTGTGTCTGAGTGGGGTATTCATGTTAAACTGCGGCATGGTATCTCAGTGAGCTAGCACTATAAATCGGCATCAGTCCGGACTAGTACAAGCAGCCACACACACACATACACGTGCATGCACGTCGCTATATAAGTGCAATAATCTTGGACGCGACGTTAAACCCAATTTCACCTCACCTTGTGTCCCCTGCCGAAATATTGCTGGTAAATTACGTAAAGCGGCGTACAATCACAAACAAAGCCGCCGCTCTGTTCACACGGGGCAGGGCATCCGCAAGCAGGATGGACCTATTCTGATGTGGTAGGAAGACCGAGGGCCTATTCTATCCACGGTCTTGTGTTAATAGGAGAACTTGCCTTGACTTAGATATAAACTGAGGACGTAGTCTCAGTCACTTATGAACTGAAATAGCCACTTGTCGCTGAACACTGTAAACTCAATCCACTCACTAACCATTCACATCATCTTCATCCTAACGTTCATACAGTCTCTGAACGATAGCAGAACCCCCGAGACATAACTCTTAGATCGGGACAGACGTGAAGTGTAAAGACTTATGCCCCTGGTCGGATCTTTCATGGACAGCAGCTTCTTCGTACCCTTCATCGTTATTATTACTTCCTCGACAAGTGTGTACTCTTTAAACAGCTGGGTCTTGTCAACCAGAACACGTGTTGTGATCTTTCTTTGATGAAATGGTCCGTGTGATATGAGCTCACCGTTCTCAACATTAACTCGATGTCCAGGGTATTTCTTGGCAATACCAGATAATCTGGACACAGCACGTGAGTTGGTCTTCTCGACAAACACTTTGTATCCAGCTGGACATATTTATATTTTTATTTCGGTTGTGATGTTGACATGCTTGTCCGGTATGCCGAAATTAAGGATAGCGCTACAATAACTGCCTGACATGGACCTCCGTGATGCCGGATACATATATCCCTGTTCGTCGACCACGCACCCAGGGTGAGAATCGAACCTTTGTTCTGGAACGAGTGAGTGAGTGAGTGAGTGGGTTGGTGATTACGACGCGAGTGTTCGTCAGATTACATTTATCTTACACCGACTTGTAAGATAAATAGTAACTGATAGGCACGAGTGCAGTGATCTATTTCTTACATCCCCGAACACCGCACCATTTTTGCATGGAATCGATGCATGTCTTTCTTTCGCAGTGGAGCATTAATACATACCAATGGTCATGAATGACCTCATCCGGCTTACTTCTAAAACCTTGTTTCACCCTCCACAAAAGCGTTTTAACAATATGTGTGGATTCATTACCATTACGATGATGATAATTCACTCTGGATAACATCAAAGAATATTTATTAAACACAAAAACGTTTCGACACAGACGAAGGTGAATGAGACAGAAGCCCGAGAAAACCAGGAAAGTAGTCCGTCACAATCTGACCTAAGGTCATCACCATGGAGTAGCCAATCACGGACCTAGAGTTCATTCTCCCCTGCTCCTTCGTCTCTCAGTTTACCCTTGTTATTGACATCAGACAAGCACGATATGCACGAGCGAAGGAGCGGCATGTGGCGACATAGCTCGATATTCACGTGCACGACATGACACGAGGGGTGCATGCGCATATACCCCGGATGTTAACCCCATGTGCTCGAATTTGCGCCATTGACTGGATGAATAGCGAAGAGAACCTTGTTGAACAGGAAACCTTCAGTGTCGGCAATGAAAATGGATATTAATTAAAGATGCTCAACACTCTGTCGTTTGAAATACAGGTAAATGTCAGTCCTTCTTTCTTTGAATTTTGGATCATTAATCAATTAATTAGTGTTTCAACACTGGTATCTGGCCATGACAAATACTAGAAATGGAAAATTGGGACATTTCTTGTACATCTTTACAACCTATAGAAGGCGGGTAATTAAGTGCAACCTGAATCTGAAGAGGTATTATATTTATAGTGTAGCGGCCATAAAATTTCCGAGTCCCGTGATGGGATTCGAACCACGAACCTTCTGATCAGAGGTCGGACGCCTTGTCCACATGACCAAAGGGGTTAACCTCTTTGGTCATGTGGACAAGGCGTCCGACCTGTGATCAGAAGGTCCGTGGTTCGAATCCCATCACGGGACTCGGAAATTTTATGGCCGCTACATTGGCGCCCAACGTGGGGCTGAGCACGTTCATATTAAATTTGAGCAAAATAAGCCTCAGTACCCTACTATGCGGCCCGGGACGTGCCTTCTGTTGCCGGGGGAGTATGTAGCAGGGCGTGGAGTCATCCCACAGATGACATCCTTACCTTGTCAGCTTGCTGACGGGGTTAACCTCTTTGGTCATGTGGACAAGGCGTCCGACCTCTGATCAGAAGGTCCGTGGTTCGAATCCCATCACGGGACTCGGAAATTTTATGGCCGCTACAATAGCATGGATACATGATTGAATCATTCTCATTCTCAATATATTAGGGGGCACGTCTGAGGCGCTACAATTCGCTGTGCAGAGTTGCGTCTCTTGGGCACGCCAGAAACCTGTGATGGGGGGTTGGTTCAAATCCCCGTTCGCCCCAATTATGTGTATAGATTTGTCAGCATCATACTCGTGCTCATGGGATTTGATGAAAGTGCTAGACGTATAAGACCTGTATCACTTCTTCATTAAGCTGACATGCCGTTATATAACTGGAATACTGTTCAAACCGGCGTTACACCACTCGCTCACTCCACTATTTTTGCTGTTTATAACATCTCATTCACAACACGTCGTTATACCAATACTCAATGTACATTCGGGCCAGAATGGGTCCTCAACCACCAATGCTGGAATATTGCTGTGTGCGGCGTTAAACAACAAACACAATTATATTCGTTGTATCTTTACACCCATGTTACTGGGAACAGTGTTTTAGATTTCCTTCAAGAAATTCACACGCATGGCAAGCTATACTATTATGCGTTCTTTCTTTTTTCAAACTCAAATTGTGATGTTCCAAATGGTACTTTTCGGCCTTCCTGCCGATTGTATTAATGTATTAATGTATTTTATTGGATATGATGTCGAAATGAATCACCAACAGATATTACATGTTTCAGGGTTCGTGTCTTTGGTGACACGCGGGATGACCACCTAACTGAACATCGCAGAAGGCTGATTAAAAACTTGGAGGTGTTAGAAATTGAGATCTGATTAAATCGATGACCGATTTTTAGTTCTTCAGTCTGTTTGCGAATGACATAACCCTTATTGTCTTCATTGTTAAAAACTGGGGATTTTTGTTGACATGAAAAATGGCATGGTGTCTGCCCCTTGGAATTTGTCATTTACAAAACAATTAAATTGGAGTGAACATGTGTCCAACGTATCGCTACAGGCAAAGAAGATATTGTTCTGTTTTGAAACGTATATTTACATGTATTTTGAGATTTACTACACGAAAGTTGGCCCATATTACATGGAGCTGAGATTTAGGGCTTGGATATATGCAAAGAAGTGATGTATTTATGTTCGTGAAAAATTGTAAATATGCCTGAATCTCGTTACCCTCTTGAAGCTGCCAATGGTAAATGTAATTTGGGATCTAAAATGAAGTTGCTTTTGTATAAGTTTGGTTTGGGGCCGAGCATTCAGTCTGTGAATAAAACGTAAACAAGCTGATTAAAGGAAAGATAAAACAAACATTTAGATTCAGAGTCCTTACTCTTATCCTCAGCTCAATGAAAGTTTCAATTAACTCACCGCCTATTTTCATATACTTTTGTTGCGATCCAGTATTTCCAGCCGATTGATAACCAGAAGTATTCAATATCATCGTTATTATGGGGCTACCGGCTCATGCGTTAGAAGATAGTTTTTAAGGGTGCCATGAAAATTTGACCTGTTTATACAGTTAATAGTATTATGTATGGGAACGGTACCTACCTCTCGAGTCTTGAAATATCGGTTGTGTAGGACGAGTGATTGAGACGGGCGCCTCGTCCGTTGATTTTTGCCATCACAAGGGATAAATATGTCAAATCATCTGTCAAGGATCTTTTTAATTGTATTACATCCCATTTAATTATGTTTTTTTTTAAAGAAATAGAATTGTGAAATAAATGCTTGAACATATTATTTGTAATTAAGAAATGATCTATTTAGACTTGGTAGAAGGAAACTTGGATTGTTAGTGGATGTACCTTGATGGGTGTTGAAGTGATGTAAAATAATTGTCCCAGAGAGGGTATGTAAGACCACGTCATTCGGAGTATTTTTTTCCTGCCACATTTTTAATCGTAGAATATGTCTTCATTTAACTTTGGCTAAATTTAACAAAAATCGCCAACACCTGAAGGGATGATGTAAATCCGGCTGGGGTCCATTCAGGTAGCAAAGGTACTTAAAGTCCCATGGAAACTAGCATGGTGATCTACCTTCAGCTGCTGGCGATCTATAGCCCTATTTTATTATGTATTGTTACATATGGTGATGCTAGTATGCATCGTTTTAATCTTAATATGTTTTCTTAAACATATAACTTCTCGTCACGATATGGCTGAAATATTGCCGATGTGACGTTAAATATTAACTCACTCAGTTGTAGCCTGTTGAACAGTATCGTACACTGCAGTCCCTTGGCGGAGAACCGTATTCCCATGCACACATGAGCTTTCCAGTGACCCCGATATCGTTAGATGTAGATATGAAACGTGCGAACAATATCCACGATAAAACGCAAAGTGACAACCAAAGTTCCTGTGTCGGTACTCTTACAGATGTACCGTCGAACACAATAGGATGCTTAACTCTGAAGGATGAAAGGAATTAGTTCGGATGCTCTGGGACTATCCTGTTACCATAAATTAATCAATGTCTGACAAACTTGAGCACAAAGGAATGTTTTTTTGTTTTAGGTTGCGGCGGGCCGCATTGGTTTGACCGACGGTGGTAGTTTGGTTGTGGTGGTGAAGGCCAATGGTAGCGATTTGTATTCGGCAGGAAGAAGGGTGGTGGTCGTGGCAGGATGAAGGGTGGTGGTCGTGGCAGGATGAAGGGTGATGGTGGTTGACAGCGGTAGCGATATGTCGTGGGCGGAAGTAGGATGGTGGTTAACAGCGGTAGCGAGATGTCGTGGGCGGAAGTAGGATGGTGGTTGACAGCGGTAGCGAGATGTCGTGGGCGGAAGTAGGATGGTGGTTGACAGCGGTAGCGAGATGTCGTGGGCGGAAGTAGGACGGTGGTTAACAGCGGTAGCGAGATGTCGTGGGCGGAAGTAGGACGATGGTTAACAGCGGTAGCGAGATGTCATGGGCGGAAGTAGGACGGTGGTTAACAGCGGTAGCGAGATGTCGTGGGCGGAAGTAGGATGGTGGTTGACAGCGGTAGCGAGATGTCGTGGGCGGAAGTAGGACGGTGGTTAACAGCGGTAGCGAGATGTCGTGGGCGGAAGTAGGACGGTGGTTAACAGCGGTAGCGAGATGTCGTGGGCGGAAGTAGGATGGTGGTTGACAGCGGTAGCGAGATGTCGTGGGCGGAAGTAGGACGGTGGTTAACAGCGGTAGCGAGATGTCGTGGGCGGAAGTAGGACGGTGGTTGACAGCGGTAGCGAGATGTCGTGGGCGGAAGTAGGACGGTGGTTAACAGCGGTAGCGAGATGTCGTGGGCGGAAGTAGGACGGTGGTTAACAGCGGTAGCGAGATGTCGTGGGCGGAAGTAGGATGGTGGTTGACAGCGGTAGCGAGATGTCGTGGGCGGAAGTAGGGTGATAATCGTGGCCAGTGTTAATGTCATTAGTAATCATAAGTAGTATAGATTAAGATCGCTCATTAATAGTTTTTGCAGTGAACCGTTCTCGGTTAGGCGTGTGCCCAGCTTTACAATCTTCTGTAGCGTAAAGCAAAAGGGTTGAAGGATTAACAAACTTTGATGATATATATCTCCTGAGGATATTTTTTTCTATTCGGAACTTTTCACATTCGCTAAAATCATTCGATGTGACCTGAGATATGTTGCTTCACTGATAAGCCGTCGGTTGTGTTGTAAGAAAGTCAATTGGCTGATGGGAATGGCAGAAACCTACGATTCTTCCCGGTTTGGTAATAGTCGACCTGCCACATCACGCCGACTGGAATTTGTATTTTAGTGAAGAAAAAAATCTTTAAAAAATCTTATGAACGATATCGAACAAGGTATTGGTGGTAGTCTGTTATTTTGTGGTTTGATGGGTTTTTTAATCTTTCTGATTTTGCACATTTCATTACACACCGATATTTTGTGGTAAGGTCACATGTCTTCTGTGCGTATCTTGTGAACTTTGGGCCCGGTGACATCAGTGTAACACGATGTTAAATGCATGTTGATTTATGGCAAATAAAAGTTACTGTGTAAATGTTTTCTGGAATATGCGTCTCTATGATCACCACCCTTGAGGTGATGTTCTTTGTCGGGAGAGAATAGGCCTTCGGCAACCAATGCTTACCGTAAAAGGCAACTAACGGGAGTTCGTATGCTTGGATCGTCTTATCCAGACTCGATTATTTAAAGACCGCCATATCGCTGGAATAGTGTGGCGTTAAACAACAAACAAACATACGCTGGCACTCGAGTCTGGTACATTGTTGCTCCTGAAATTGGAGAGAAGCTGAAACGGCCAGCCTGCGGGCATGGATCGTCACTCGACCACCAATATATATTCAACACATATTTCCGATGCAATTTGGATTAACAAAAATAATCATTCCCCTCTCTTCACAATACAAAAAAAAAACATTGCAGAAAAGTGTTGGAAATGAAGATAATTCAAAGAGAAATTAGTGGCCAAGTTTTGTTTCTCAACAAATTTCAATCCAAGGTGGTATTTTACTGCAGTTTCAGTTTACAATGAGGGTAACTTGTAGCAATGAGGATGTCTGCAAAAGAAGTTTCGTACCTTATTTTGCCAACAAAACACAAATTCATGATATATACGATAATTAGTTATTCATAATATATTTCTTCTTGCGAATCGAAATTACCACATGATTGTACTTCAGATATATTTCCACTATCCAAATGTGCATATCAAGTAGACATAAATCAAACAGTTACTGGCCCATTTGATTGCTGCCATCTGTAAAAATCATGATCTTGTTTAGTATGACACAAATTGCTATTTAAGCTATTTACAGTCTTCAGTTTCTCCAAATGCTAAGTGACATGTATGTCCAGCTCACATCGTCAAGGCACAACAAACATCCCACATTCATCTTCTTCATGCGTGTCGGTGTCACTTTCACTGTCCGAACTGTCAGTTATGCTCACATCAGCAATATCTGCATCTGAATCGTCGGGGAAGGTCGTCAGTTGCTCAGTGATGCGGCTTGGCATTTGATCACCATCTAACTAAACAATATGTTATATCTACAAACTTCCAGCCATGTCCTTCTGGTGCATATTGAACAGGTGTGCCATGGTTCTCTGGTGTCCAGCGGACTGCGTGTTTGAGGCTATTCACTATGGACGACGAGTCAGTCATGTCCTTCTGGTCACATTGAACAAGAGATGGTGTTTCAGCATTTCTTGAGTGAGTGAGTGAGTATGGTTTTACGCCGCTTTTAGCAATATTCCAGCAATATCACAGCGGGGGACACCAGAAATGGGCTTCACACTTTGTACCCATGTCGGGAATCGAACCGGGGTCTTCGGCGTGACGAGCGAACGCTTTAACCACTAGGCTACCCGACCGCCCCCAGCATTTCTTGATAGTTTGTCTGTCTGACCATCGACCAACGGAGAGGGGCTTGTCATCCGACCATGAACAACGGCTACCGTCCAGGTACCAGCTAGATCATGCACAAGACGGGATACTGTTGGCCACCTCACCAAGGGATCTATGAGGAAGTGTCCGGTGTCAGCAACCAGAGAACCTTCCCGTGAATATTCTGGGTTAGAAACTGGTCTTCAGCAGCCCATGCGTGTCGTACAAGGCGACTAACGGGATCGGGTGGTCAGGCTCCCTGACTTGGTTGATTTGTCATCGATCCCAAATGCGTGGATCGATGCTCATGATATTAATCACTGGATTGTCTGGTCCAGACTCGAATATTTACAGACCGTCGTCATATAGCTGGAATATTGCTGAGTATGGTGTTAAACAACAAACCAACCAACGTAAAAGGCTATTAACGTGGAATGGGTGGTCAGACTCGTTGATGCATGTCATCGTTTCCCAAATGCGTAGATCGATGTTCATGATGTCAATCATTGGGTTGTCTGGTGCAGACTAGATTATTAACAGACCGCCATCATATCTATAACTGGAATATGAGGAGTATGGCGTTTAACCAAACAAAAGCAAGAAAACACATAACCGTCGGCAACATCAGGCTTACATGTCATCCACAGAATAACCGTATAAGACGGTATGGGAGGAGCGGTATCCAGCAGACTGCATATCAAGGTCAAGTCACCATGGACAACAGTGGCTAACGGGGGACAAAGATTTATCAACCATGAGACAACTCCGAACCAGACCATTCCATCTCTGATTTGACTGAGCAGTTGTATCATCTGATGCCATATCTACAACCCAAGGTTGAAGAGGAGCAGCCACCATAGAGGCTAGAATGTCCAGGGTTCTTTGGTCCCCCATCTTCATCACCCACTCCCGAACGTGATATCCTTCCATGGCCAAGTTTTATATATTTATAGATTGAAAGGAGTGAGTGAGTGAGTATGGTTTTATGACGCTTTTAGCAATCTTCCTGCAATATCACGGCGGGGAACACCAGAAATGGGCTTCACACATTGTACCCATGTCGGGAATCGAACCCGGGTCTTCGGCGTGACGAGCGAACGCTTTAACCACTTGGCCCCATAAATTGAAAGGAGATGACAGGTTGCTGCTGCTCATATTGAAGAGTGGGTGTTAGTTAAAAATTAACGCCACACCCAATTGAAGAAACGAACATACCAGACTTATGATAATCCGTTCCCTGACCATTAGGCTGGTGAAGTCTCCCAGTAACAGGATGTCGGCAAGAATCAACCATTTGGATGATGGAAATCGATTGTACATCCACTCGTGTGTGACAGGAGTTGACCATGTCATACCTTCCACACAGGAATCGTACAGTGGCATGCCGGGATGAGGAGGGGCCAAGTAGTTTCCCCGAAAAGCGGGCAACAAAATCAGCAACAAGAAAAGACAACATCGACAGTTGCTTTTGTAATTGGCAAAGACGTGTCAAGTACTTCCATCTGTGCACACTTTTACGGGGTGCGACTACACAGGTGCATTCATCAGAAAGGGACAGTGTCAACGCTTGCAAATATCCCAGACATCGAAAGCCTTCTGATAACGTTGTCTTCAGTGGTTGTCATGGAAATACTATTAGAACACTTTTCTGGAATTGAGAAGTTTGTATGCACCTCATATTCCAGACCATATAACTCCTGTTCAATATGCACCAGAAGGACATGGCGGGAAGTTAGTAGATAGCACCTACCAAATTACTTAGTTTGATGATGATCAAATGCCAATCCGCATCACTGCGCAACTGAAGACTATCCCTGATGACACAGATGTAGATAATGACAATGTAAGGATTAGAGACAGGTCTTACCAGTTTCTGTGTCACTTTCACTGTCTGAAGATCAATGCGATACGTCCGTCGTGCCATGAAGATGTGAGCTGGACATGCATGTCACCAAGCATCTGGATAAACTGAAGATAGTAAATAGCTCAAATTACAATTAGTGTCAAACTAAACAACATCATGACTTTTACAGCAGACAACAATCAAATGGGCCAGTAACTGTTTGATTTATGCCTACTTGATAGGCAAATTTGGATAGTGGAAATATATCTGAAGTACAATCATTTGGTCATTTCGATTCACAAGAAGAAATATATTATGAATAACAAATTAATTATCGTAGTTACATATATCATGATTTTGTGTTTTTTGTTGGCAAAATAAGTTACGAAACGTCTTCTGCGGACATCCTCATTGCTACAGTTACCCTTATTGTAAATTGAAACTGCAGTAAAATACCACCTTGGATTGAAATTTGTTGAGAAACAGAACTTACAAAAATTTGTCAACCCTGGTCACTAATTTCGCTTTGAATTACTTTAAAGGAGTGGTATGAAAGGATTATCTTCATTTCCAACACTTTTCTGCAATGTTTTTTTTTGTATTGTGAATTAAGAGGAATTAACGAAAAGTGTCAAAACTGATTATTTTTAAAATCCAAACAAGCAGTATTGCTTATTATTGTGCTAATAATCTTTATACATTCTAACATAACTCCATCTGATAACCCATTCACAAAAGGTACTTTTATAAAAACCACTACAAAGAATTATCTCCCTTTTGTCGACTTTGTAACATGACCCGTGTCACTTATTTTGCTTTAAATTACTTTAAAGGAATTGTATAAAAAGGATTATCTTCATTTCCAACACTTTTCTGGAAAAGAAATTATAATTTATGCAATGATTTTTTTGTAATGTGAATGAAGGGAAATGAACAAAAAGTGTCAATACTGATTTTTTAAAACATTTTTTGAAAATTCAGGCTTTGTTGTCTTTGAAACAAACATAAATTATTAAAAAAATAAATATAAATATTTGAATTCTTATTCAGTAGACATCCATGTACCATTGGTACATGAGGTATATACGTGTAGCAATTCATACAATCTTAAAACATGATCAGATATGGGAATGTGAATATACTGACTGAGAAATTATAATAAGTAGGCTGATAATTCGTTCCATTTTCTGTCGAATGTATTAATACTATTATTTTTCATTGAGATTTCAATTTCTAACCAAAATTCCTTTACAAAAACACATTCTACATATACATGGTACACAGATTCAGAGACACAAAATGAGCATATATCATCATCCATTAACTTCATTTTCAATAATTCCGTTTTGGTATATAGCGCTCTATTTATTAATCTGTACTGGAAATCTATTAGTTTAACGTCATTGGCACACATTCTACAATTAGAGAAAACATTATTCCATAAAATGCTTTGATTAAGTTCATTTTCCCATTTATCACACATCAGAGGAAAGTTAGTTGTAGCTATAAATTTATCATAATATATTCTGGAGCCCTTTGTTCTAATCAACAAGTCTCTCAAAATGTTATTTTGTATAAATTAGCTGTGATACAAAATCTGCCATTTATTTCTTTTTCCGTGATTAAGGGACATTTAGCATTACTCTGATGTAGTCAAGTATAGTACCTTTAATTTGAATTTGTTTTGTAATTCTTCAAATGTTAAAAATCTGTTGTTGCTACATAAATCTTTTAAACTATGAATACCCTTATTAAACCAATGTTTTAGAATGAAATTATTT